AGGGAGAAGCAGGCTTCCCACTGAGCAGGGAGCCCGATGTGGGGCTCGATCCCAGGACCCTGGGATCATGACCTGAGCCGAAGGCAGTTGCTTAACCAACCGAGCCACCCAGGCGCCCCAAAATTTTAGTCCTTTTAAGGCTGAATAGTTCATTATGTGCACGGATCACATTTTATCTGTTCATCTGTTGATGGACGCTTGGGTTAGCCGGTCACTTCTTGCTTTTGGTCTCATGTGGTTGAAGTCAGCTGTCAGCTGGGGCTGGAGTCTGGAAGCCCTGCTGGGCTGTGTGTCCAAGAGGGCTCGCTCATGGCTAGCCAGTAATGCAGGCTGTCATCGGGGAGCTCAGCTGGGGCAGTTGGCTGGTGTGAGTACACAAGGCCTCTCCATGTGGCTTGGACTTCTGATGGCATATCAGCCAAGTTCTGAGAGGATACAACCAGGGAGTGAATGTTTCAAGAGATGGGAAATAGAAGCTGCTGGCTCCTAAAGCCTGGGCCTGGTGACTGGGACAGTGTCACTTCTGCTTCATGCCGTTGGGAGGGGACACAGAGTCCACCTAACGAGAGGAGATTTGAAGAATTAATCTGCCATACAGGCAAGGAGCTTGGAGAAGAAGTGGGCAGGGGTCAGATTGCACAGGGCTTTATAGGCCCTGGCAAAGCAGGCTGATAAGCAGCCTGAGTGCTTTGTAGGAGTGAGCTGAAGAGTGTATATATTCTAAACATTTTCTAAAATAATGGACACTTGCTTGCTGTAGAAAGTTGTCCTTTGGGGGCAGGGGTAGGGGTGTAGGGAGAATGGCATTGGAAAGGGTCAGGCTTTTCCCCGGCTCACTGTGTGACGAGGTAGATTGCTTCCCTTCTCTGGCCACCATTCCATCTGTAAAATGAAGGGGGTGAGAAGGTCTGTGGTTTCTGTACTGTTCCTCAGAGTTCTTGAGAAGGGCCTCTAGTGCCATGAGGCTGGCAATGCAGGGCCAACCTGGAGGGACTCAGGTCCCTCCCACCACCACCTTTAACCAGTAATCCTCTTGTATATCAACTAAAAGCTTGGATGGCCACAGGTCTAGGTATACCAGGCTTAATTTAAGCCACATGTTACAGAAAACCCCAAATAACAGCAGATTAAGAAGATAGAAATGTATTGCCTTCTTAAGTAAGAGGAGTACTGAGGTATGCAACCCACCACTCGATGGCAGCTCCATCGTGTTGTCAGGACTCAGGCTGCCAACTCCGCCCAGCTGACCCAGTACCGGCTTTTATCCTCAGTGTCCCCTCACAGGGCTGATGAAGCTTTAGCCATTACAACCTTGCCTCAGGCAGCTGGAAGGAAAAAAGGGCAGAAGGGGGGCACAGCCTCACCTTTTTAAGCAACCTTTCTAGAAGTCCCATATAGCCCTCTTGCATCTCGTTGGCTAGTTCTTAGACACATGGCCATATCTTAGCTGCAAGAAGTACAGAGAAATCTCTTTATTTGGGGCTGCCATGTGTCCAGCTAATTCGAGGAGAAGGGGTAAGAGGTATTTCTTCCCCACTAGGTGATTTCTGAGAATCCTTCTAGCTCTGCTGCTTCTGAGTCTGTGAATACCCTGGCAGAGGTTTAATTCAACAGATATTTATTGCACATCAAATGTTGAAAGACCATGGACCATTATGCTGAACCATTCTCGTGGCGTGAAGGTAACAGGTATTTGGAACTCCTAGGAAAACCTGACTATCACCATCACCATCATTGTCCTATTGCATGAAACCCACTGCAACTTTTTAGAAATTCAACTTTATGTTTTAGAGACTTGGCCACGTTGACCGTGTTAGCTTCTCTCGAAGTTTTCCATTTTGCACGAATAAGCACAGCAGGGCTGCAGTGGGCACGCCCCTTTCTTCACACCCAACCCAAACACCTCGGTCTACAAACACCTCCCAACCCTCCAAGACCAGCTGCCACTCCCAAGCCTCAGCTCCTACGGGAGGGCTCCTTGTCCCACTTCTCCTTTGCTGCCGTCTGCACACTGACGTGCTCGACAGCCGTCTTCCCTGCTGCAGCGTCAGCCCACAAGGGTAGGGGCCTGGGCTATTCCGCTCCCCACAGTTCCCACACACACTGGCCCAGGGCTTGTGTCACAGAAGCTGACATCCTGGCTCTACATGACATTTGTTTCATTATAATAATCTTATATGTACATGTATGTGAATCACGGATCGAGCCTTATTATGTGACAGGCAACGTTCTACTTGCTTTACGTGTATGAACTCATTTGGTTCTCACAAGAGCCCTGTGAGGTAAGCACTATTGTTATTCTCCTTTTACAGATGAGGAAATCGAGGCATAGAAAGCTTAAGTAACATGCCCATGGTCATGCAACCAGGAAATGGTGGAGCTGGGATTTGAATCCAAGGCAGTCTGCTCCAGAACCTGGTTTCTTAACTATGCACCTCACTCCCAGCTCCCCCAATGCCATCAGTGAGACCCTCAAAAGCGGAGTCTGCGCCCTCTGTTTCTGATCTGTAGTCCCTAGCACAGGCCTCAACGCACAATGGGTACATCAATATTTTTAGAATGAATGATTGAAGGAATGAGGATTCAGGGGTCTTACCAGAAAAACCAGGCCAGGTTGTTAGGGGTTAGAGGAAGAAGAAGTGCATATGAGCTGAACACCTACTACCATCCGGCCCTCAGCCAAACTCCTTTCTGAAGTCACCTCCAAAGATTTCAAAAGTAGAAAGAGTTTGTGATCTCCCAGGCAGTGGAACAGTAGGAGAAATCAGGAACTGTGTGCTCTCTGACCTCTTGGAGAGCATCTGC